ACCTTGTTCAAGCATAAGGGTGTCCATATGTGCTCTTGGCACCAGGACACCCTAGGCCGCAGTTCGATGATCGACTTTGTCATCGTCTCATCTGATCTGCGGTCACATGTCTTGGACACTCGGGTGAAGAGAGGGGCGGAGCTGTCCACTGATCACTACCTGGTGGTGAGTTGGCTCCGATGGTGGGGGAGGATGCTGGTCAGACCTGGCAGACCCAAACGTTTTGTGAGGGTTTGCTGGGAACGTCTGGCAGAGTCTCCTGTGAGACGGAGTTTTAACTCCCACCTCCGGGAGAACTTCGAACATATTCCGAGGGAGGTGGGGTACATTGAGTCTGAATAGACCCTGTTTTGTGCCTCTATTGTCGAGGCGGCTTACCGGAGCTGCAGCCGCAAGGTTGTCGGTGCCTGTCGTGGCAGCAACCCTCGAACCCGATGGGGGACACCGTCGGTGAGGGATGCTGTCAGGCTGAAGAAGGAGTCCTATCGGGCCGTTTTGGCCTGTGGGACCCCAGAAGCAGCTTATGGGTACCGGCAGTCCAAGCAAAATGCTGCTCTGGTGGTTGCTGAGGCAAAAACTCGGGCATGGGAGGAGTTTGGAGAGGCCATGGAGAATGACTTCCACACGGCTTTGAGGCAATTCTGGTCCACCATCTGGCATCTCGAGGGGGAAAGTGGTACGCCACTAACACTGTTTATAGTGGAAGTGGTGTGCTGCTGACCTCAACTCGGGATGTTGTGGGTCGGTGGGCGGAATACTTTGAAGACCTTCTCAATCCCACTGGCACATCTTCCAATGAGGAAGCATAGCCTGTGGACTCTGGGTCGGGCCCTCCAATCTCTGGTGCTGAGGTCACCGAGGTGATTATAAAGCTCCTCGGTGACAGGGCCCCATGGGTGGATGAGATTCTCCCGGAGTTCCTTAAGGCTCTGGATGTTGTAGGGTTGTGTTGGCTTACACGACTCTGCAATATTGCGTGGACATTGGGGGAAGTTCCCCTGGATTAGCAGACCGGGGTGGTGGTCCCCCTATTCAAAAAGGGGGACTGTAGAGTGTGTTCCAACTACAGGGGAATCACGCTCTTAAGCCTCCCTGGTAAGGTCTATTCGGGGGTTCTGGAGAGGAGGGTCCATCGGATAGTCGAACCTCGGATTCAAGAGGAGCAGTGCGGTTTTCGTCCTGGCCTTGGAACACTGGACCAGCTCTACACTCTCAGCAGGGTCCTAGAGGGTGCGTGGGAGTTTGCCCAACCGGTCTGCATGTGCTTTGTGGACTTGGAGAAGGCGTTCGACCGCGTCCCTCGGGGAACCCTGTGGGGGATACTCTGGGAGTATGGGGTACCGGGCCCTTTGATACGGTCTGTTAGGTCCCTGTATGACCGGTGTCAGAGCCTGGTCCGCATCGCCAGCAGTAAGTCGGGCTTGTTCCCAGTGAGAGTTGGACTCCGCCAAGGT